ACCTAATGCAGTGCTCAGTGTCATTTCTCATAATCAGCGTTATCATCAGGCACAAGCAGCAGATACCCCAACCCTAGCAATCAATATCAGAGCCTTACTAATGGTAAATTGAAGATGGTTTTCATTGACTTGTATATATAAGTGTGGAAGAAAGTTTCTGAGCAGAGTTTGAACATCTTTGTGTTTGTTTTCTTTTTTATAAAGGAGATCTATTATTAATTCGGAAGAATAGAATGGCACTTTTCCAACATCTGACTTGTGTAATTCCAATTCTGGATAGTCTACTAATTGCCAGAGTGATTAATGAACAAGAGCATGATGTAATTAAGCAGAAAACACAGACTTCTTTACAAGCAAGAGAACTGATTGACACCATTTTAGTAAAAGGAAATACCGCAGCCACTGTATTCAAAAACTCTCTACAAGAAACTGACCCTATGTTATACAAGCATTTATTTGGTGAGTGCAAGAAAATTATTTTTGGGAAGTTCCTAGGTCAGTTCCAAAATACTCTCAAACAATTGGTGATTATTGAAAAGAATTCAACCTAATTTATTAAACTGCACAAAAAGATTAAAGACTTTTGTTGCCTTGACATTATGAGTGTTTGGCCAAAGTCTAAACTACTAGTTTGAAAAATATATTCTTATTTGTCATAATAATATTTTTTCTTTTATTCCTTTAGTGCAACAGGACATAAGGTGTATTCGCACAGAAGATACTTCAGGTAATAATATTAACACTTTAAGCTGCTAGAAAACATTGTCTTTATTATCTTGTTTTTTTCTAAAGGAGGAGAAGCAAATTGCCTTTTATTATTTTTTTTCCCTTTTTCTCAGATCTACCAATGGAAGAACAATTGCGGAGACTACAAGAAGAAAGAACATGTAAAGTGTGCATGGACAAAGAAGTGTCCATAGTGTTCATTCCTTGTGGTCATCTAGTAGTATGCAAAGATTGTGCCCCTTCTCTAAGAAAATGTCCGATTTGTAGGGGTACCATCAAGGGTACAGTTCGTACATTTCTTTCATGAAGAAGGTCCAAAACTTTTGTCTAAACTCTGAAATTAAGGGATTAAGTATATTATGATTTTAACTTTTACATTCATTTGCTTTCCTTAAATTTATTTATTTATTTGCAACTTGAAAAATTTTGTTTTATATACATATGTTTATGTAAATATATATCTAAAATACACAAACAATAACAAGAGAATGATGGGCTTTTGTTCATGGAAACAAAAAATAGGAATAGCACTACAAACACAATAATAAAGTTTCAGCATCATTGAAATTATAAATGAAGTAAGATTTAAGATATATATATTTGTCAAATGACTTTTTTACGGACATGGCATTTTTGCAAATAATTTTGTGAGGAACAATTTAATAAAGCAATGAAAATTACTCTTATTCTTGGTATCTTGATTTCTATGATATTGGATAGTTCAGTCACTCCAGATTCTTTCTGTACCTCTTTAAGGCCTTTTGAATGTTGGACTGAGGTCTAGTTCCCTTCTGGAAAGATGCTTCTTCATTTATACTTGTAGAGCACAGTACAAATGTGCTTTTTTTTTCTGTAGGATATTATGGGATGCTTTAGACAAATGTCAAGCAGTCCCCTCAGTAAGTTTGTTTTTTCACTTGCTTATTGATTCACCTAGGAAGTCATGTGTGCCAGTCCTACCCACTGGGGGAAGCCTTTTTTTTTTTTTTTGGCACTGAGGATTGAACCCAGGGCTGCTTAACCACTGAGCCATATCCACAGCCCTTTTTATATATTTTATTTAGAGACAGGGTCTCACTGAGTTACGAAGTTCCTTGATAAGTTGCTGAGGCTGGCTTTAAACTCATGATCCTCCTGCTTCAGCCTCCCAAGCTGATGGGATTACAGACATGCACCACCGCACCTGGCCCTAAGTTTTTATTCATACCACTCAAGTATTAATTCCAGGAACTTAGAAAGTGGACTGACTAGCAACCCTTATGACCAACAGCTTGTTCCTGGAAGTAAACTGTATTGTCAGTGCAGCAAAATTTCCTTTTCTTAATTTTTTTGGTACTCAACATGTCCAACTCATAATTCTCTATCCTTTGTTTCCTACAGGGATTTAAAGCCAGAAATAAAACTGTAATAGGGAATAAAAGCCAGGCAAAGGCTTTTTAAACTAGTTCTAGAGATCTGCTAGAAAGATTGGGAACTATGCAAGGGGAAGGAGGGAAGAATCCATCTCTTCATTCTGGTGCTGGATGACCATTTCCTTGGGATGAAACCAATCTACCTCTGCTAAAAGGCTCAGCTGGCTAGCTACACTATAACCAGTGACCTCCTGGCGTACTAGGATTCATTAATTGTAATATTGCTTGGATGAGTTGTTACTTAGCTATAGGATAAATATTTAGACACTAGACCTTTTTTTTGTAACCTCTGTTTTTTTATTTGGCATACTACAGTTAATATTTGAACTTATCTTGCCACATCCATATAAAACTTTTGTTTATTTCTCATTTTTTTATAATAAATAGCAGAAATAACCAACTTATTTATTCAAATGTTATTTCTCTGTTAAATTAAAAATATGTTCTGAAAAAAATATTTTAGATTATAAAAATGGTAACTCCATTTGCTGACCATATGTCAGGCCATATTTTGGGGTGCTTAAGTGTTAATCCCTTTGACTGCTTCCAGCTCCACTCCCCGCTTAACCAGTCTTCAGTGGCCATAATTGGGTGGATTACTTACACAACATACACTGTATAATAAGTATTATAATAAGTATTATAATTATATAACTGTATAATAAGTATTATAATTCAGAACTTTGCAGTGGGTTTAGTTTCATAATTAGGAAATATTAGGTAGCTTCTACCTTTTTTATTAATTCCCTTATATTGCTTGATGCAATTGCCTATTAAGTTCTTTTGTGGTTACAGGACATGTAACCATCTCCTTTCCATGAAGGTGCTATCCTTTGGTTTTGTGAATATCAGAGTGGACAGTGTAAATATGTACTAAGTACATTGCAGGCAAAGCAGACAGGTGTGATGTTTAAGAAATTTATTATTTCAGCAGCAACACTAATACTCTTGAAACAGAATATCAGTGGATTTGCATTTCTTTCTACCCCTACACCTCTAATCAAGGAGATTTTGGTGAAGTCTAATTTCCAGAGTTTATACCATACAAATAATTGGCATTTTTTTTACAAAACTGCTCCCCACCAGATTATCATGACCCTGCAGAATCTTCAGCCTCATTTCCTCCACTTTCTCCACTGCTTACTATTTTCCAGTCACCTTTCTTCAACATGGCAAAGTGCTTTTTGTTTCAGGGTCTTTGTTTAGGGATAGAAAAGGGAGTCATCATTTTCCTGCTCATCCAAAAGGGTCATTACCAACATTCCCTAAAACAATAGGTCAATAAGAAAACCAAGACAAATTTATTTTATCATAATTTTACACGACATAGAGGCCCTCAGGTTGAAGACGCCAAAGACCTAGGGTGAACAGTCTGTTTTCATGCTTAGGTTCTGTGAAGCAGGGACAGCTGTGTAGGAATATGATTGGACAAAAGGGTCTGAGCAAATGGGAAACCCAGCAAGGCCAGTCTATTCAGAATCCTATTGGCCCCTTAGTTGGGTATGGGCAGGGCCGCTGTGGAATGAGGGTCCTAATTTCTTTATGACTACATTTAACACAGAAAGGCAAGGGGAAGTTTGGAGTAATCATTCTAGTTTTTATGGCTGGATTTGGGGAAAAGGGGTACTTGTTTCTATGACCCACCTTGGGGAAGAGGAATTCTGGTTTCTATGATTCACTTTAAGGGAGAATGAGGGAAACAAGATCAGGAGGTCAGAGGAAAACTTTGCTTCTAAATCCTTAATTTTGCATATAATTTTCTGAGCAACAACAAGTACTCTTCATTTCATTTACCCTTTCCTTGGCAAATTCCTACTCATTTTCCAGCCTCAGCCTAGAAGCAACTTCTTAGAGGCTTTCTCTCACTTCCCCTTTTTCTAAATTATATCCTTTTGGTTATGTCTCTAATAGACTCTTGTTCCTTTTTTAAAACACGTATCTCAACTTGTATTTATACATTTATTGTTTAGAGCCATGTTCTATTGTCTACATTTCTATAAGGACAAGACCCATGTATTTTGTTCGCCACTGTATATCCAGTACTTAGCACAGAATCTGACAAAAAATCCCTTATTGAATAAATGAATGAATGAACAACTTCCTGAATGCAGCTGAGATGTGATGGGGATTTCTTTTTTCTTTTTGTACTGTGAATTGAACCCAGGGGTGCTTTCCACTAAGACACATCTCAGCCTTTCTATTTTTTTGAGACTGGGTCTCCCTAAGTTGCTGAGGATTTTTCGAAGTTGCTGGGCTGGCCTTCAACTTGTGATGCTTCTGCCTCAGTCTCCAGAGATGCTGATTACAGACGTGGGTCACTACACCTGGCTAGGGGGGTGGATTTCTTTTTCCTTAAATGCAACTGTTGGTAAGTACTAAGGTCTACTCATTGATAGAGAATCATATGTCAAATTCTGTACTTCTTTTTTTAAATATTTTTATTTTTTAGTTTTAGATGGACACAATATCTTCATTTTATTTATTTTTTTAAATGTGGTGCTGAGGATCAAACCCAGTGCCTCACGCATGCCAGGCGAGCATGCTATCACTTGAGCCACATCCCGAGCCCCCAAATTCTGTACTTCTTTACATATCAAAAGGAATCTTTAGAAGGGAAAGATCAGTGTAGTTAAAAGAATTTGTGTAAGAAGTGGAATTTAGAACATTTTTCTCAATGATGAAACATGGCATTTCAACTCAGGAAAGAGCACAAGAAAAGACAGACACATAGCTGGGTACAATGGCGAGGCCTGTAATTGAGGGGACTGGAAGGGTGAGGCAGGAGGACTACAAGTTTGGGGCAAGCCTCAGCAACTTACAGACCCTCTCTCATAATTAGAAAAAAAATAAAAAGGACTGGGGATAAGGAGATATAGATCAGTGGTAAAGGGTTAGGGATGTGGCTCAGTGGTTAAGTGCTCCTGGGTTCAATCCCAGGTATGAATAAAATAAATAAATATACAATAGATGCATAGGAAGAGTTTTGATCTCATTCATGATAGAGCAATAAAATTAAAACTACAGTGAGGGACTGGGGTTATGGTTCAGTGGTACAGTGTTTGCCTCACATGTGCCATCCTCAGCACCATATTTAAAAAAAATAAAGCTACTGTGCCTATCTACAACTAAAAAATATTTTAAGAACAAAATAAAACTACAGTGGACACTATTTCTTATCTAACAGTTGGAAACAATTCAAAAGTTGACAACGTCCTTCCCTAATGAAGTTATGGGGAAAACATGCATTCCCATTACATTGCCAGTCTGATTGAAAAATGTCAACATTCCCACAGATAAGCATTTAGCTATATCCAGCAAAATTACATATGAACTGATATTTGAATTAGTAATCCAACTTTTGGAAATATATCCTAAAATAAGATACATGTCCATGATCCTTCATTACAACACGATTAGTAATAGCAAGAATGGAAACCATCCAGATGTCCATCAGTAAGAAAGCCGTTGAATATACTATGGTACCAGTTTTGTCTCAGACCAGGGAAAACTTCTTCAAGTTGGCTCCTGAGTCTTTGACATTACCCAAGTAGTCTTAAGATTGCTTTTTGGTGGGAAGGAGAGGTTGAGAGCTCAAGGGACTCTCAGTGGGGTGAATGCCCTCCTCTGGGGTTTCTAGCTACAAAGATTGTGCTTATGTACAGATTGGTGCAGAACTTGTTCTTTCAGACCAGGAGCCTGACACTGAGGGCAGCCAGTGTGAATTCTCATTTATGGTGGTCCACTTGTGAGGAGTAGAAAGTTTGGTGGTCCATTTTCAGAATACTATAGTTAGCTTTAATTGGGATATGAGATCCAATTGTAGCTGTTTTAACTACAGTCCTTCCCTTAGCCTGCCTCAATTCTAAAATTAGCTAATCATGAAGATTATATCTCCATTTCCTCCTATCAGGGCAGGGAAAGCTCTGCATAAGGTATAAAAACAGGTGAACTGCCTGCCCAGATGTGCTTGCCAGCCAGGTTTGGTAGCTCACACATGTTTGATCTCTATGGGCACCTAAGTATTTCTAAAACACAGGAGGGAGGAAGTTGCCTGGCCAAAGGTTTGCTTCATGACCACTACAACACCTTTGCTGCCGGCCGCCACTCCACCCTCATAAGACTTGTGATGAGTCAGGGGTGGAAGGAGTGGTGACCCTTCAAGTTATTGGGCTTAGTGCTGTGTGTCTGCTTATTCCTCTTTTTTTTTTTTTTTTTAAGAGAGAGTGAGAGAGGAGAGAGAGAGAATTTTTAATATTTATTTTCTAGTTCTCGGCGGACACAACATCTTTGTTGGTATGTGGTGCTGAGGATCGAACCCGGGCCGCACGCATGCCAGGCGAGCACGCTACCGCTTGAGCCACATCCCCAGCCCTGCTTATTCCTCTTGATTACCGACTGCAGCTGTGTTCTACAGGACAGTCCATGGCAGATGCACAATATGGCTATGTCTTCTTTCCCTGCTGCTGTGACCAAGACAGAAAGAGGCCTTCGACTGTATTTTGAATCAAATTGTTCAAGTTAAACATATTATGGTGCTTCAAACCAATGAAATACTAAGCACAAAGTAGAAATATTTACATCTACTAGTACTGAATGATTTCCAGAATTTGAGAAAGGTAGAGAAGTATGCTATTTATTTAAGAAAAAAGGATATGCAAATATACATGTTGTATTTATAAAGTAAATACATGAATCATAAAAAGTGTTTTAAGTTATTACTTCCAGGTAGGAAGAGAAGAGAAGGGAAAATAAGGATTTTTTAGAGTACAGAAAGAGAGTTACGGATGTATGAAAAGGTTTAGGGACTGGGGGTGTCAATCAGTGTTAGAGGGTGTGCTTATCATGTCTAAGGTCCTGGGATCAGTCCCCAGAGGGGGCTAATTAAAACCTTGAATTCCTAAATTTGAATTGGAAGTATCAGTATGAATTAATGATACATTTTGTTAAAAAAAAAACAAACCAATATAACCTATCTCTGTCTAAAGACATGTATAGAAACCACAGAACTCCTTAACAGTATGACACAGGTTATGGTCTTTAAGGTTTGCTGCCAAAGGAAACAAAGTGCTATAGGTAAATGGCTTATGAGGGGAATGAGGTAAGAAATGTACAAAATGAGCCTGGAAAACAATAAAAAGACTATTAGAGTTGTGTCAAAGACTCAGGAGCCAACCTGAATCAGCCCCTACTGACCTAACATAAAACAATTTGGGTACCAATAGTAAAAATAAGTGTAATGGATTACATTGGATTCATAATGATAGCTACTCATTTGTAAAAGTTTTTGTCTAGCAGGAATGTTTTTAAAGTAGTATAAGATAATGATCTAATTTTATTTTCCACTAGAATAGCCTACTAGTCATCTTTTTTCACTAATATGTAATACAGTGTCATTCTTTAAAAAACCAGACTACTATGTACATATATATGAGTCTCTCTTTTTTTTTTGTTCTTTACCTGCTTCCTTGTACATTTAAAAATGTAAGTGTCTTAATTACTATGGCTTTATTATATAACATCTTTTTATTTTCAATTTTTTTTTAGTTGTAGATGGATGCAATACCTTTATTTTATTCATTTATTTCTATGTAGTGCTGGAAATTTAACCCAGTACCTCAATATGCTAGGCAAATACTCTACCACTGAGCCACAATCCCAGCCCTATAACTTACCTTGTAGAATGTCTTTTCAATCCTATTTTTCTTCAAAATTGTCTTGAATTCTCTAAATAGTTTTTCTATATAAATATGAAATATGTTAGGATAGCAACCTCAGAAAACATATATAGCCTATTTAAAAAAAATTACCAGCTATGCTATATTGGCAATATGGGAAACAAATTTATTGAATAAATATGTAACTAAATAAATGAAAAACTAGACTCCATGGACATATAAAAGTAATATATATGTAACAGCATATAAGTAATACATATAAAAGTTATAGCACAAATAACAGTGATATTTATTATACCTGAATGATATTACATATTTTTTTGAGGGGATATCTAAGGCTTTTGAGTTTTTGAAATGCAACATCTCCCCTATTATAGTATATTCATTATTTTACTTTTTTGGTCTGACAAGAACTGAAAAAAGAGAATTAGTCTCAAATTCAGAATGAACAATTCTTGCTATCTATATTTTCCCACATGTTACAAATGCACTGTAACTTTCCAAGACAAACAGCGACCTGAACTAAATATTGAATCACTATCAAGACTCATGTACATTTTTTTAAGTTTTTGGTCATAGGGAATCATGGTATTTCTTTTCTCTGAATCACAGACTGTCAGAAATACTTTCCTTTTCCTATTAACATCGGAACAGAAGATGTCCTATTCTTCGACTGACTGGGGTAGAAATGACACAGACCAGAAATGGGAAATGGTTCAGGGTCCTGGAATTCCCCTGGCTGCCTAATCAAGTGGCTTTTGAAATGTTTGCCCCCTGGGCTTCGCAAAAGAAAAGAAAGCATCTCATTTTATTGACATAGACTGCCTCGCAGAAATTAAAATATTGAAAAAGAGAAAAAGACGTCCCCTACAACAAACATTGCATGCCATTGGGTTGGCACACTGCTAGAAAAGGGTAAGACAAAAGGTTAAGCCAAGGTTAGGTTTTTTTTTTTTCCACCTACTATTTTCTGTCACTTAACTATTTAAAAGGGGTTTTGATAATGGCTTCTTCTGTGGTTCCACGAGTGTATATACACCATTTTATCCAAATATTCGAAAAATGTTGAGTGTGAGGCCTATTTCATGTTGCTAGAGATTAGTTTTGAAAATAAAGACACTTTTCACACAATACGGAAAACCAAAACTTTAAAAGTAAACAAAATGTGATCAATGATAAAATGCACCAAGTCTAAATTAATCTGCTGCTGCTGTCATTTTCAACTTACACAGGCGGATGCGGCAAGCTGATGCTACGTAGATGCACTGAGCTCAGAAAAACGGTTCGAATAATTTACTTTATTGAAAAAAAAAAAAGGGAAAAAATTCACTAAGACGGATTCATCCGTCACCTTAGACCAAAGGAGGCTTCACACCGTGGCAGTTTTGCCCGGGGCTGGATCCTAACCCAGGCAGCCCGCGGGAAGGTCGTGAAACTTCCGGGGCAATAATAAATATTCCCTCAGAGTTTCTCAAGATTCAAACGCAACGCTCCCGGCGCGCACGTTTCCCTCACAATACTGTTAGGACAGAGAAGGAGGAACGTTAAAGATGTATCGCCAGGTTCAAGACCGAAACACTAAGTCGTTGCGGACTGCCGCCTTCCCGCGCCAACCAGCCGTTAAGTCCAGCAGGGTAAACACACAGCACCCCGCCCGCAAACATCCTTCCGGGTTGTTCCTCTTCCGGAAACAGAACGTGCGCTTCACCCAGCTCCCGTGCCGTAGACGTCACGTACTTGCGCGGCACGTGATTCACGTCCCACGGCAGGACGTACTGACGTCACCGTGCGTCAGCGTTGGCCCAGCTGGGGTTTGGGGTTTGGGTTTTGGGGTTTGGAAACGGCAGAACGCCGCGGAGCTGGTCGTTACCTGGCTCTGTTTCGCTTAGACGCAGTTGCTTTCCTGGTGTGAGGAGGTCTCCCAGCAGCCGCCCTGCTTTAGTGCTTTCAGCGCTGGTACTGTGGTGAGTGCACCCCTTTCGGGGCCGGCGGGGACCCACTGCCCCGAAGGTGCGACCGGGTGGAAAACTGGGCCTGGGGCCGCTCCCCCAAACGTCAAGGGTCGCTTAGGGCACTCTTTCTAATCTCGCTGTAGCTTTTTTTTCCCGGAAACCTCAGTTGCAAGACTTGCAGTCGAAAGGGATATATTTTTAAATGACTTGTTTTCAAGCTGACTCAGCCCTTGGACTTTGACCAAAGTGTTTTCTGTAAGAATTTTTGCAAGATTTTAAACTTGGCCCTCAGTATTTAATATTTTGAAGACAGTTGTATGGCGGCGAGATATCACATTTCAGATAGTTGTAACTGTGCTCTGTCACCTAAGTAATCATATTCTGGGTTCTGAGAAATAACTCGGGGGAAATTAATGGGTAAATCCCATAGTTTCTTTTGTTTTCCCTTCCACTCTATGCCCCACCCAGCTACATTTTGCATAAAGAGAGCAAAATCAATACGACTCTGTGTAAATAAAAATCTATAACTTAGAATATAAGAAAGGATCAAGAATGTAGCTCAGGGGTGGAGCGCTTGCCTAGCATGAAGGAGGTCTGGGTTCCATCCCCAGTACCTCAAAAAGGGAAATTTTCATACACACACACACGACCTGGTGGAATTAAGACAGTTTTATAAGTGGTCATATGGCCAAGGCCAATGTTTTACAGATGATTGTATTTTTTGTTTTTGAATTGCTTTCTGTGGTTGTTCCTTTGGAATTGCGAGGCAGTGTTAGTGTTTCAGGATTCATTAGGTTAATGAGCCTCTCCTGATGCCTTTTACCCTGAGTGGACTAGGCTGTGACTGGGCATTGAAAAATAATATCTGACTTTTTTCTGTGCTGTCACTAAACAGGTGTAGTGGTATCTCTTATTTTTCAACACTGTTCCGTTTTGTCTCCAACAAAGTGCCAGAGATATTATCTTTATGAAAAGGGAGGGAGACCAAGGACAAAATGTTTTTCTGTGAGGAAAATGTGCTTCTGTCTTTAAAATTGTACATTTAAAAAGATATCTAGTTCATGGTGTGGGGTAAATTGCATGTATCTATACAAGAGCTTTTCTAATTGGAAAGTTTTTTGGTGACAAATTGCTGGAATTCAGATGTATTATATAAAGTGTAGATCATTCTTAGACTTTACTGAATAAATTGAAGAGTGTCTAAGTTCTATGTGCCATGCAATTATAGTTTTCTAAAATACCTTTTTTGTTGTTCTTTTCAGATGTACAGCCCTGAAGAGTTCCCCCCTATTCATTTTTTCCCCTGCAGAAATGAATCTCATTATGGAAAGTGCAAAGCTTTATAAAGGGATAAAGTTTGAATTTTATGGAGTGTAATTTTGTGTATGAATCACATTTTTAATATATAGTTTTCATAAAGAAAGCTAGTAAATTCTGGTACATTCTGTGTAAACATTAATTTTATTGGTAATATAGTGTTAGGCATTTGTGATAACAAAAGAGTTGTCTTGGTAAATTGATTCCTCATTTATCATGACTGATACCATATCTGAATGGTCCTTAAATGAAAATCAGCTTATTTAAAATTTTTAATGCAATATAGAAAGTGTGTGTTGTGGAAATTTTATGGCTGATTTTTTGGAGAAAATACCGTCAGTTGACCAGGTATAATAAAGAGATATGCAGAGTTAAGAAGAAAGACAACGTGATACTGCAGGAAATAGAAACAAAATAGATAATGTTTAGCAAAGGTAGACAAGTTAACGGTGAGCTTTAAACAATATTCATTTGACATCTCTTATAACAGGTGTAGGACACAATAAGGCTTTGGGTGTTGACTTCCCCAAAAGTTGTTGGCTGAAGCTAATATAACCCACTTAAGTCAATTCTGTGATAAGTTGTGTGCAATTAGCTTTTAAATAATGTGACCCTTTGAAAATTTTAATTACTTATTTGCTAGAATAAGATGGGATTATTTTGGATTTCACAGTAAAGTGCTTGTAAAGGGAAAAAAGCCTAAATTTAACTTTACTTTTGTGGCATAATCAGTAATTGTCCTTATATCTAGACTTTATAGCTTGTAACCAAAAGCAAATTAAAAAACATAATTTAGGTATTCTATAGTTACTTAGAATTTTGAGAATATAAACTTCTTTGAAAAATAGTTTTAATATCTTTATAAGTGTGTAAACTCTTTTTAGGCCTTTAAGTCAGTTATTATACCAAATTGTGAGCAAATAGCGTGTAGGTTACTTAAAAGTGTTAATAGAATCCCAAAGTACTCATAAGTATCTTGGTAATTTAGGAGAAATATAAATCTAGTAAAGAAGGTATGGTGGTTCAACTAAATAGAAGTCTTTGATTTCTTTTTGTGGCAAAAAGTGACAAGAAATTGTATGTGAAAGTTTTAGTCATCAAAAAGTACTTCTTTCTACTCATGCACAAAACTACCTCCAAAGAGTTATCCAAGATCCCTTGCATCAAAAAATAAGGAGTATAATGGAAGACAGCACAATCTTGTCAAATTGGACAAATAACAACAAACAAACAATGAAGTATGATTTTTCATGTGAGCTCTACAGAATGTCTACATATTCAACTTTCCCCATCGGTGTTCCTGTTTCAGAAAGGAGTCTTGCTCGTGCTGGTTTTTATTACACTGGTGTGAATGACAAAGTCAGATGTTTCTGTTGTGGCCTGATGCTGGATAATTGGAAACAAGGAGACAGTCCTATTGAAAAGCATAAACAGCTATATCCTAGCTGCAGCTTTATTCAGAATCTGGTTTCATCTAGTCTGCAAGCCACCTCTAAGAATACCTCTCCAATGAGAAACCATTTTGCACATTCATTATCTCCTAGTTTGGAACGGAGTGGCTCATTCAGCGATTCTGTTTCCTGCCTTTCACCAAATCCTCTTAATTCTAGAGCTGTTGAAGACTTCTCTCCTCTGAGGACTAACCCCTATAGTTATGCAATGAGTACTGAAGAAGCCAGATTTCTTACTTATAATATGTGGCCCTTAACCTTTTTGTCACCATTGGAATTGGCGAGAGCTGGCTTTTACTATGTAGGACCTGGAGATAGGGTAGCCTGCTTTGCCTGTGGTGGGAAGCTAAGTAACTGGGAACCAAAGGATGATGCTATGTCAGAACACAGGAGACATTTTCCCAACTGTCCGTTTTTGGAAAATTCTCTAGAAACACTGAGGTTTAGTATTTCAAATCTGAGCATGCAGACACACACAGCTCGAATGAGAACATTTATGTACTGGCCAGCTAGTGTTCCAGTTCAGCCTGAGCAGCTTGCGAGTGCTGGATTTTATTACGTGGGTAAGAAAAAAATAGCTATATGCTTTTCTAATTTTTTTCCCCTAATTTGTTTTGACTTATGTATTAGAACATGTGTATAGTCGATTTTTGGTCCTTTTTTTCCATTTAGATCGCAATGATGATGTCAAATGCTTTTGTTGTGATGGTGGCTTGAGATGTTGGGAATCTGGAGATGATCCATGGGTAGAACATGCCAAATGGTTTCCAAGGTAATATATATATATATATATATTTTCCTTCCTTTTCATTGCTGGGATACAGGGTCTTTGAACATGCTAGGTTTACACTCTACCACTGAGCTTTAGCCCAAGTTTCTGTCAATGTGTTTTGAATATGCATTCCTACATAAAACCCGGGGCTTGATTAAGTTTACTTTTATATATAACAAAGCCTCATCATGGGTGATTAGTCTTTCAAACGACCAAATTAAAATGTTTAATCTTTCTGTGTACTTTTCTTCTTTTGTAAGCCATGCACTCTGGATATCATTTAACTTATTTTTGTGACTCATTTGATAGAGCACGAGCGAGCTACAGTGACATACTTCCTTTAGCTATGCTTACTGTCCATAGTTACTACCCAGGAGTCTATTCAGATTATTAAACAAATGGATTAATCCACTTATGAGGTCAGAACTCTCAATCCCAGTTTTTTGCCTTTGAACATGCCTAACATGAATTTTGGGGGAACCTTTCATCCAAATCACAACAGTACCCCTTATATACTGACACATCATTATCTCCTACTCCTGCCAGTTACCTGCTGGCAACTTCTTTCTGTCTTTATAAATTTGACTATTCTAGGTACCACCTGTAAGTGGAATCATGTGATATAGATAATGTTTTCACCTGTGAATGCGTTTCACACTAATGAAGAATATCTTGCAACATTTCAGCAAATTATCCTTTTTGTCATTTTTGTATGATACCTGATGAAAAAGAAGTTGAGGGCTGTACATATAGCCCAGTGGTGGAACTCTTGCCTAGCATGCTCAAGGCCCTGTTTAGTCTGCCATGGTACCAAAAAAAGAAAGAAATATTTGATTATGCATCAGTACATTGTTAAAAATTGTACTTTGTGTCATCACTATTCATTATATATGATGTAGATTTTTATTTTTGACTCTGAAAAATGATAGTTAAAATTATAATGTAAGACAAAACACTTTAATTTGAAATTTACTGATATTATAATATCAAAAATTGCTTTCAAATTCCAGTGTTTGAATTGCTACATTTTGTTCTTTGTAAAGCAAAACAAAATTCTTAAATTTGTAATTTGTGTTTAGTTTTAAATGGCTAGCAAGGGAGAAGACTTGAGAGTGCTTTTTGATAAGTACTTTCCTGAAAACAACAGGTTTTAGTTGTGAATAATCTTTACTCTCAGTAAATGAAAAACCACAATGGATAATTATTATCACTGTAGTTTAGCACAGTTCACTTACTCATTTGTCAAATTTTAGGTACTGTTTAGAACTATTTTAGATGCCAGAGATTTATCAGACAAATTTCTACCTTCATGGAGTTTATTGGAGAAGGGAGAAATATGGGGCAGCAGGGTTAATTATACTTCATGTCTTTAACCATTAGAAATATACAGTAATCAGTTCAACAGTAAAAATAAGTTAAAGTTATATGAAGGTCAGGCATATAAGACAATTAGCTGTGTCGTCTAAGTGATGAACTTGAATCTTTAGTGTGTTTATATGTTCTCTACTAACTTCTAGTGTGTTGCTAATACTTTTCAGAGTATTCTGTTTTAAAGGGGAAGGAAATTTTTGTTTATTTTTTAAAAAGGTTTGTTGAGTTATAATTTACATATAGTTCACTTTGAGTTTTAATGCACTGAGCCATATAATTAGTACTGCAGTTAGAACATATAGAACATTTCCATCAACCCATAAATTTGCTGAGTAGAACTTCAGTGTTCTCATGAACAGAGTTTTGATTATTGACTTAATTTCTTTACTAGTTGTAGATGCATTCACATTTCTACTTCATGATTTTAATCATGGTAGGTTATAGTTTCTAGAAATTTGCCCATTTCTTGATTATCCAGTTTTTTGTTGTATAGCAGTTTATAGCAGTTTCTTATGAGTTTTTATGTTTCTGTGATAGCAATTGTGATGTCTCCTCTTTCTGATTTTGTTTGGGTCGTCTCTCTTTTTTTCTTAGTTTAGCTGAAGCTTTGTTGATTTTTTTTATCTTCTTAAAACACCCATCTTTTGTTTTCTATTAATTTTAAAATAGTCTGTTTATTTTTATTCTGATCTTTTTTATTTCCTTTCATCTGTTAATTTTGATCTGATTCTTTTTCTAGTTCTTTGATATATATGGTTAAGTGTTTTTTTTTTAATATGGGTATTTATTTTAGAACTAGTTTTTTAGTGAATCCTATGAATTTTGGTATGTTATATTAGAATTTTTGTTTTTATCAAGATTTAAAATTTTTTTCCGTTTCTTCTTTGATCCATTAGTTGTTGAGGTACAAAGAGTACTGGCTTTTGTCCTCTTATTGATTATTTCATACTAGTATGATCTGTAAAGATACTTGAAATGATTTTAATCGTCTTGAATTTGTTGTGACTTGTTTTGTAATCTAACTTATGATCTGTCCTGGAGAATTTTCTTTGGTTGAGAGGAATGTAGATTCTTTTGCTGTTGGATGAAGCCCTCTGTATGTCTATTTGGTTCTGTTTGGTCTGATGTGTAGTTCAAGTCCAACATTTGCTTACTGATTTTTCTCTCTGGAGCATCTATCCATTTTTGCGAGTATGGTATTAAAATCTCCTACTATTGTTATATTGCTATCTATTTCTATTAAGACCTTTGTCTCGTGTTACAGTTTGTTTAAATATAACTATCCCTGCTTTCTTTTGATTTTTATTTGCACAGAATTTTTTTTCTACCTTTACTTCCAAATTGTGTGTTCTTATAGGTAAATTGAGTCTCTTGTAGATTTTTATCCACTCAGCTACTCTGTGTGTTTCGATTGAAGATTTTAATCCATTTACATTTAAACTAATTATCAGTATGTAAGGACTTACTATTGCCATTTTGCTAATTGTTCTCTGACTGGTATTTCTTTTATTTCTCTGTTGGTGTCTTTCTTTGTGATTTGATGATATTCCACCATGTGCTTTGTTTTCTAACTGCATCTTTTGTTACCAACTGTAGGTTTTTGCCTTGTGATTGCTGTGAGACTTATGTAGAACATGTTATAAACATAACAGTCTATTATAAACCAACAGTTTAATTTCAATTGCATACAAAAATTCTCCCCTTTTGCTCTGCCCCTTCCCCCTTACGTTTTATGGTTTTGATATGTATTACATCTTTCTTTATTATATATCCATTAACAAGCTATTGTGGCTATAGTTATTTATATATACATATATGTTTATATATAAATAACTTTGGGCTTTATGCTTGCTTGCTGGGCAAGCACTCTATCACAGCCATACTCCCAGCCCCTTTTTTCTTTTTGACCATTATATATTAAAGTGATTTATATATAGTCATTACACATTTTGAGTATTCTGAATTTTATTGCATTATTTATCTTTTTTTAATATATATATTTTTAGTTGTAGTTGGACACAATATCTTTATTTTATTGATTTATTTTTACGTGGTGCTGAGGCTTGAACTCAGTGCCTCACCCATGTGAGACAAGCACTCTACCGCTGAGCTACAACCCAGCCCTGCATATTTATCTTTACCAGTAAATTTTACACTTTCATGTGCTTACACGTTACTAATTAGTATCCTTTTATTTCTGCTTGAACTCGTGGACATTTCTTAAACCATTGGTTTTGTTTTGTTTTGCCTTTTTTTCCCTCCCTCTCTATTTTTTATGGTGCTGGGCATTAAACCCACAGCCTCATGCATGCTAAGTAAATTACCTGTAATTGAACTACATCCTTAACCCTCTAGTATTCCTTGTAAGGCAGATTTAGTGGTATGAATTCCCTCAGCTTTTTTGTCTGGTAAACTGTATGTCTCTTTCATGTTTTTGAAACAGACATTTGCCAGGTAAAGTCTTGATTTGTAGGTTTTTATTTCCAAACACTTTAAATATATCCTTGAACTCTTTCTTGACCTTCAGAGTTTCTGCTGAGAAATCTGCTGGTAGCCTTTTGGGGTTCCCTTGTATGAAATGCGTATCTGTTCCCTTGCTGCTTTTAAAATCCTCTCTTTTAGCTTGACATGGTGATATTCCCCTATAGTTCTAGGTGTTGGAGGCTGAGGCAGGAGAATTGCTTGAGTCCAGGAGTTCAAGGCCAGCCTGGGCAACATAGTAAGATCTCACCTCTACCAAAAAAACAGTTCTCACTTCATTTTTGATTTTTGACAGTTTATTTTAACATGCCACAGTCCTCTTTGGGTAGAACGTGTATGGGGACCTTTGAACTCCCTGTGCCTGGACATCCATCTGTCTCCCTAGATTTGGGAAGTTTTCAGCTCTTCTCTAATCTTTTTGCCCATTTTGCTTTGAACTACTTGTGATCCCCCTTCCTCAGCCTCCTGAGCCATTGGTATAACAGGCGTGCACCACTGCACCCAGCCTCTTTTTTTTTTTTTTTAACTACAACTTTTTTTGGTGGAGAGTAGCCTTGCATGTGTCCTGTGTGTTTTGTTTGTTTGCCCATTTTGCTTTGAACTACTTGTGATCCCCCTTCCTCAGCCTCCTGAGCCATTGGTATAACAGGCGTGCGCCACTGCACCCAGCCTCTTTTTTTTTTTTTAACTACAACTTTTTTTGGTGGAGAGTAGCCTTGCATGTGTCCTGTGTGTTTTGTTTGTTTGTTTCTTTGCTTGTTTTGTTTTAATGGTTTTTTCTTAGTTGGATTGGCCACAATACCTTTTTATTTATTTATTTTTATGTGGTGCTGAGGATTGAACCCAGTGCCTCACACATGCTAGGCAAGTGCTCTACCCCTGAACCACAACCCAGCCCCATGTCCTGTGCGTTTATTGGCACAATTAACTCTTGTAGACTTTCTGTACTGATTTTGTTGAGGAAATATTTTTATCTAGGGTGAGTGTGATAGCATTGACTCTGTAGGATGCCTAGTGGCATAGTCTCTATATGACTCTGTTAGCTGAAGTCATTATGAGTGAGGAGTGCAAGGATCCTGTATCCAAGGAAGCAGCAAGGGTTGTTTGGGTCTTTGGTGGCAAAGTTGCTGGAGACTGGATTTCTTTTTCTCATGGGAAGTATCATGGCCAGTAGCATCTCTTGTGGCACCAATTCTACTCTCTTGGGCAGATTAAAATAATAAAATAATAAAACCTTTTCATTTACTTAACAGTGGCTTTTGAAGAGCAGATGCTTTTAATTTTATTGGTGTCATTTTTTCAATTTGTTTCTTATGGATTATGTTTTTGATCTTTTATTAATTTTTTTTCTTTTTTTCATGCTGGGGTTTTTCTGTTTTCTACTAGAAGTTTTATTGTTTTAGGTCTTTCATTTAGAAACTTGATCTATTTTTAGTTTATTTTTGCATATGATATGAGTGTCAGTCAAAGTAGGGTTTTTGGCATATGGATATCCAGTTATTTAACACCATTTGTTTAAAAAAGAAATAGAATGGTAGTAGATGTTAAATGAATTGCTTCCTGGAACAACTTTGAGAAGCTGTAGTAATTTAAAGACAAGTGTTTGAGAAACACAGTGTATGTAGATGAAAATATTTGATTTTATGTTTTCCAGAGGGAATATGGTAGATTGTGCTTCAAATATAATTGAAGAGTAAATGTTATCGAAAGTTTAGCAGTTAATATAATATGAAATATAAAATTTTAGGAATACTGATTTACAATTTCTGTAATACTGTTAAGCTTGATAAGTAAATTGTGTTTAACAGTTTTTCAGCTTGTGCTCCTTTCTAGGTTGATATCTCTGTTGGTGTGTTAATTGAATGTTAGAAAATATCGAATATATCACATATTAAGAATGTGTATGCTTTATGATAATATTGTTTCTCTAAATGTTTTTGCTATGAGTTGTTATCAAGTAGGTTTGAAAGCTACTTTTCTAGAATAATCAGATTATGCTATTGGTATAATACAATATTTAAACATATTTTTCTTATGTTTTAGGTGTGAGTTCTTAATACGAATGAAAGGGCAAGAGTTTGTTGATGAGATTCAAGCTAGATATCCTCATCTTCTTGAACAGGTAGATATATTTCTAAAATTAATAACATTGAATTCTGCTATGTGATAATTACAGAAATATTATTAGAAGTGATATTTACTTCTGTTTGCTTATTAATTCTAGTTACATAGTTTGTGTCTGTATTAATAACACCTGATATTTAATTTTGTTACCAATGTGTTTGTTCAGGGCTCTTTAAAAAATATTGTTTTTATTTTTTTGAAAAATTGTCATCCTACCACTGAATAAATTTGCAATGGGGTTGAAGAAGGATTTTAGTGGCTTTATTTTTTTCCGGGAAACAAACAGAAAAATAACTTGTTAGAAGTTGAGATCTTTTGATAGTAATCCAGTTCAAACCTTACTGTCCAGTAGAATGAGAAAACATTACTATATCTTCTTATTCCTGAGGTGGAAAAAATACTTGAATTCTAATTTGGAATTGAGTGAAGTTTAAGGAAGGATACATAATTATGGTAAAACAAAGCAAAGTGAAGTATGTGAATTACCTGATTTTCAAAAGACCATATACATTTATTTAAAGTAAACTTATTGTAGTGCTACTGTTCAGATTGTTTTTGAGATTACTGATTTTACCTTTTAACTTTTCTCCTGTTTCATAGCTGTTGTCAACTTCAGATACTACTGGAGAAGAAAATGCTGAACCAAGTATGTGTGAAAGTATTTCATATATAGAATGAGAATGTTTATAAGAATGTTAGGAATGAAAATATGTTTAAAAAAAAAAAAAGAAAAGAACAAGGGGATGTTTCTGAAGCCATAGGAAAAAATGCTGGGAAATTAACAAATATTATGTGCATACTAAGATTCATGACATATTAAAGGATTATAGAAAGTTTTCCAGTATTTAAAGTACTGATAATTCCAACTGGGAGACAAGACACATGCAAACAACAACAATAAAAAATAGCTCAAAGCAAGGTCAAATGAGAGGTACAGATTTGTCCTCCGAAGAGGAAAAGATTGTTGTGACTACCATGATTGAGAAATGGCCCAGTTTACATTTGAAGTAAGAATCAAGTTAGATGTTAGGTATTAAAGTCAGATATATAATTTTTCAGTGCAAGGATATCTTTGAATTAGAACTTAATTTTAGCCATATCTGTTAGTATTTAAATGTATATATGTACATACATTATGTGTCCAAAATTATTAAAATATATACCGTTTTATGTACTAATTACATCTGCAAAGGGGTGCACTCTGTTCTTCACACAACATTTCAGAAGGAATTTGCAGATTTGTAACTGAAACAGAGAAAAGTGACCAAGGTATGTGAGTACTAGAAACTGACTTAGAAGGACTGGATAAAGGATTAGGTAATATTTGAACAGAAGGAGTATCTTGGTACATGGTAACTGTCTCCTATAATGGAGCTGGGAGAGATCAGATAAGTCATGGTACTCATTGTTGTTATTTAAAATTTGTAAACACAGCTGTCAAGTGGACTGCCCTGCAATCTTGCTGCAGTTCCCTAATAAAAATCACTTTGCCAGTCTTCAAAATGGCTATCTCACAAACAGAACCACCAATCTACATTATATATCTATATTTTTCTTTCTGTTCTTCTATAAAACATGAATTGTTCTTCCCCCTTCCTACCAGTACTGGGGGGATTGAACCCAGGGTACTTTCACCACTAAGCTGCATCCCCAGCCCTTTTTATTTTTCATTTTGAGACAGGGCCTCGCTAAATTGCTGAGGCTGGCCTTAAACTTGCAATCCTCTTGCCTCGGCTTCTCATGTCACATGGGGTTACACTGCACCCCTGTGCTGGCCTCATTCTCTGGATTCTGTTATGATGTTGCTTTGGTAGTGATTTGCCTTTGTCATAATCACAGAGAACTGCTGTTAGCAAGTCTATAATATGATCTGTTAGTTAGCTTTTGATGTAGTTGAATGCTTTATCCTATTTTTTTTCCTTCCTGTTTTTGTTTTTGCATCCCGCTGCCCCTCGTAACATTCCACATACTCTGCCCACATAGCAGAACCTCAGCCTGTACCCGCCCTGTGCCTGTGCTTTGCCCTCCTTAACATACCCTCTTTCTTAGCTTCCTTGATATTAAGACTCTTGGTTTTCTCCTATTTTCTTCATTGATCATGAACAGTTTTCTTTGCTGCTTGCTTTTTCTCATTTCTAAATGACGGCGTACCCTTCCTGTTTAGCCCAAATTTCTTTCTTTTTCTTAGCCCCAGCCTATAATGTTCAACCATCTGTTTAAATTGCAAAAATACTTCCCTTCTTATAAGTTTTATCAGAGTTAATATTGCAAAGCAAACATTTCTCCTCATCCTTTATTCCTCAGATTTGCTCCTTTTCTGGTCTTCCCCATCTCAGTTAATTGTACTTAATGGTATTTGCTAAGGTTAAAAGTTCTTAGTTTGTGTATTTAATCTATTAGGAGTCCTTATTTCTGTCTTCACAACATATTCCAAATATGATTGCTTTGTAACCATCTCTGCCACTATCAGTCTAATCCATAATATCATCATCTGTCATAATATTTTAATAGTTTTTCCTGTTATTCATTTTTCCTTATTTTCCACAAAGCAACCAGAGTCACTTTTTGAAAACAAAACAATTTTATCAATCCTCAGCTTAAAGCCCCCCTGGAATATTCTAACAAACTTAGAAAAAAACAAAAGATAAATTTCTTACGGGCCTCTATATCATCTGGGCATTGTCCTCTCTGATCTTCTACCAAGCTTTTCCCTTGTTTTAAGGCTTTACACTTGATTCTGTTGAGAGACTTGTTTTCAGGTATTCCAGTAGCTCTCTCTTTCCTATCATTCAGGTCTTTTGTTTTGTTTTTATGGTGCTGGGGATCAAGTCTTTGTTTTGAAGTTTTTTCTTCAGATAGGGATTCCACATGGATTTGAACAAAGTTGTTCAGAATGCTTTTTTGACAATGTATGTTTTATGTTTATTGGAACAATTTTCCAGCAGATGGCAGTACAGTTTCTCGAAGAAATATGGCTGTAATTTCACAAAATGCCATATGAACTAGCATTTACCCCGTTACCAGAAAATGCTTCCCCAACTACCCTCTCTAAATGACCTCCTGCCTCCTACTTTCTTCTCTTTTTTTTTTTAAAGAGAGAGTGAGAGAGGAGAGAGAGAGAGAGAATTTTTAATATTTATTTTTTAGTTTTCGGCAGACACAACATCTTTGTTGGTATGTGGTGCTGAGGATCGAACCCGGGCCACACGCATGCCAGGCAAGCGCGCTACCGCTTGAGCCACATCCCCAGCCCCTCCTACTTTCTTTTTTTTAATCACTTATTTATTTTTTCCTTCAGAGAATCTGTTTTTATATAAAACCATATTACTTGCTTACTGTTTTAACCACATTTTTTATTACTACTTTACATACATTTTTGGGTGAACCAGTCTTCTATTTTATTATACTTTTTCATTTTATATTATTTGGTTCCAGCTATCCACAAGCTAGATAGTTTCTTTTTATTCTTCCTGTGCATACTCTTTTTTTTGCGGGGGCGGGGGTGGTCGGGATGCTAAGGGTTGAACGCAGGGCCTCATGCATACTTGGCAAGTGCCTGGAGATAATTTTTCACTTTTGTTTTTATAGCATATTGTTTTCCAAAAATGAATATAAGAATCATTTGGGTGAATTTTTAAACCGTAAAATTCCTTTCTCAGGTATGGTGGCAGAGGCCTGTAATCCCAGTGACTCAGAAGGCTGAAGCAGGAGGGTTGCAAATTTGAGGCCAACCTGGGCAACTTAACCAGACCCTCTCTCAAAAAGAGCTGGGGGTGTGATAAAGTGGTAGAGCACCCCTGGATTCAATCCTCCATAATGGAAGAAAACAAAAAAGAAAAATTCAAATTCTTCAGCCTTTTTTCCTAGAGAGTCCTTCATTAAATAGGTCTAGGTTGTAGTCTGGGAAGTGGTATTTTTAAAAGGCATACCATATTAATTAGCCATTATCGAGTTCAGATTTTTAATAGAGTTATAGGTAAATTGATGCATATAATTTATCTTCCTGACCAGGATGTGAGAATAAAGGTTATGTCATAGTCATTTTTTCCCCCATAGTTTATGGAATTTAATACCTTATGTGGAATTTAATATTAGCAAATGTCTTTTCTAATAGTTGTTCATTTGGGACCTGGAGAAAGTTCTTCAGAAGATGCAGTCATGATGAATACACCTGTGGTTAAATCTGCTTTAGAAATGGGCTTTAGTAGAAGTCTGGTAAAACAGACAGTTCAAAGTAAAATCCTAACCACTGGAGAGAATTATAAAACAGTTAATGATATTGTATCAGCACTTCTTGATGCTGAAGATGAAAGAAGAGAAGAGGAGAAGGAAAGACAAGCTGAAGAAATGGCATCAGGTATTTTGGAATGTTAATTATCTACATTATTTTTCAGTGAAGTTACTAACTCATGTTGCAGGACAGCATCCTTTTCTCGTACCCACTTATTGCTGGTAACAATTCTTAGGCGTTTCTAAACTATATCTTCTCTACTACCTCTCTCTTGCTTCTACTTGAGAACCACTGAGTATGGCATTTTTCTGTATGATTATTTCCTGTTAAGATTCTCTAAGTTATACTAATCAGAATTTTTAACAAAAGTTCTTTTCTTGAGCAATATTATATTTCTTCTTCATACATAACAAATTTTAATCATTTTTAAAGGCAAGATTTTAAAATTGGCTGCAGATATTACTTCTACTTTTAAAAAAAGTTCCTTCAAATAATATTCTTAATATATTTTTCTCACCAACCCTTTACATATAAAAGGATCTCCTAAACAAGGGAACTTAGAATGAAATCCTAGGGTTTGATGAGAACCCTCTGCCCAACCGGAGGATGGTATGGAACTGATTTTGGTATTCATCTAGATTGTTTTAAGTCTCAGCCTCTCAGAACAAGTAATCATATATTCCTTAAACCAGTATTTGTTGCATATAAACAGCAGTGCTAATACTGTGCTAATCTTGATGATTGTTCTCAAGGAGCATGTAGATTAGCTGGGAAGAATCATATGCAAACGACAGGATTAAAGAGCTAAGAAAGATAAATTTTGCATAATGTAGTTTAAATTGCAGTATTGGGTTGTAAGAGACTGTTCTTTTTAAGCTTGTAAAGTAGTTAGGAATAATTTAAGACACCCTTATTGTGTGGCCATGGAGCAAAATGTTTAAGACCCGTGGATTGAAATAGATTTGTGTTTAAATTCTGGCTTTTTTCAGTTACTAGGTTAGCAGTTTGTTCAGCTATAAGTCAGCTTTCTGATCTGTAAAATATGGACAGTAATAGTACCTATCCCACAGGGGTACTGTAGGAATTAAATGAGATATTTCTAGTAAAATACTTGAGCACAGTGCCTGGCACATAAAATTTCTTTTCTGTTAATTTTTTATTGTTGTTTTGGTGCTAGCAATTGAATCCACAGCTTCATGCATGCCAAATATACAACACTACCACTGAAGTGCACATCCAGCCCACCTTTTTTAAGTATATTGATTTGGAAAGTACTAGTGGCTGGTAAAATAAAGGATCTGAGGAAAGTGAAAAGATTTAAGGATTATAAAGCAGTTAAGCTCATGTAGAATTACTGTTGTCAGTGTACTTACCTTAATTTTGTGTCTCCAACTTTGTGTATGTTTCAGAATAGTCTTGAATTATGGATATGGGAAGGTTAGTATGTGAAAGGTCAAATAAGGAACAGGGTAAAGAGCTAAGTATGCTAATCAGAGAGCATCATTGGAATAACCTAACTGATCTGTAGATTGGAATGGGAAATAAACAAAACCAAGAGACAGCTCTTGTGCTAGTAGAATTGGGAATGATGTGGGGATTTTGAAAACATAAAGAACAAATTTGTTAGCAGTGAGGCACAGGTTGTGGTCAGAAAAGGAAATTTCATAGTTTTAAAATGAATAGAGCTGTTTGTTTCTAGAAAGTTGTAAATGGGGAAGGAAACTGGACTTTTTATAATTTATTTCTAATGAGATTTATACCTTATAGCAGTGTACTTTAAAAAAATGTTTTAAGTCTGAAAATAAGCAGCTTTATAGTGATTGGGGCTGCGAAAGGAAGAATTATGAATAATACCATAGCAACTTATATTCCATAATAGTAAATTACTTATGAAATTTTATGTGATTTGAGATTAAAGGAGAAACATTTGCTTTTTAATAAAATCAAGCTTGATTCATACGTAATTTATTTTAAAATTGCTATAAATGTAGACAGTTTATTTAAAAAAAAAAAACAGCCAACTATGTGCCAGATATTGTACTAAATTCTTTTTGTACATTAATCCTCAAAACAAACTCCAATAGACCGTTATTTGTATTTTACAGATGAGGAAATTGATTGAGGTTTATGGATGGGGATGTTAGAGAACTTGGCCAGTAAGTGGCTAAGCTTGCATGGGAACCTAAGTCTTATCTTGACTTTGTAGCTGAAGCTCTGCAAAATTATAGTTCTGCTTTCTGAGTATAAGATGTTTAAAAGAACCACTGGTCTAAGACACCTGGTTTTGCAGCTTATTCTGGACAAGCCACTCATTCTTTTCTGAGTCTTTTTCTCTATCTAAAAATGGAAGGCAGTAATACTTGCCTTGTTTGATTGTTAGGGTATATGTATCAGATGAAACAATTGTTATGCAAATGCTTAAAAAAAGTAAAGTGATATAATGTAAATAGAAGTATTATTGATTCCATGGTGAGTCAAATTCAGAGGTGAGAAACATTTACTACCTTTATATTTTCTGCTTACTGTCAACAGAATAAAGAAAACAGGGTTCTAATATGTGTTAGTATCTCAACTTTAAAATTATAGAAATAGAGACCCTTATTTTCTCTACTGTTTTATAATCTTCTGGAAGTTTTCCAAATGACAGACTTTAGAATGCAAATAAGTCATTTTGTTCTTTTTCAAGCCCTGTTCAGTAGGGTTAGTTGTTAATGACTATATGATTGTAGTGGAGGAGTTTAATGGATTTTTTTCTTTCTTTTTTAAAATAAAGATGATTTGTCATTAATACGGAAGAATAGAATGGCTCTTTTTCAACAGTTGACATGTGTCCTTCCTATCTTGGATAGTCTTTTAAAGGCCAACGTAATTAATAAACAGGAACATGATATTATTAAACAAAAAACACAGATACCTTTACAAGCAAGAGAACTGATTGATACCATTTTAGTTAAAGGAAATGCTGCAGCCAACATCTTCAAAAACTGTCTAAAGGAAATTGACTCTACATTATATGAGAACTTATTTGGTGAGTTTGTTGGGAAAATCATTTTAAGAAATCCTTAGCATTATGTTAATGTTTCTGACAAGCAGAATAAATCCAATTAAAAAATTTAACTTCTGCACCAAAGGGGGTGTCTTTTATTGTCCAAGTAATATACCTAAATGTAATAGTTCTTGATAATATATAGCTTTCTGTATTGATATTTGTATCGTTCATTGGATAGTATGTGAAAAAAATTAAACAGTTTTGTATTTACCTTCATAGAATGATGATTTTTGTATGCTTTTCTTTCCTCAGTGGAAAAGAATATGAAGTATATTCCAACAGAAGATGTTTCAGGTAAAATAGATTTAAGACTTAAAACCAATGTGAAATATTAACCTTTTTTTTGTATCAGATGTAAAGTGAAAACTGAATTTCACTAAAGTTCTTTTTTTTTAATTAGGTCTGTCACTAGAAGAACAGTTGAGGAGATTACAAGAAGAAAGAACCTGCAAAGTGTGTATGGATAAAGAAGTTTCTATTGTGTTCATTCCTTGTGGTCATCTGGTAGTATGCCAGGAGTGTGCCCCATCTCTAAGAAAATGTCCTATTTGCAGGGGTATAATCAAGGGTACTGTTCGTACATTTCTCTCATAAAAGAATAGGCTATATTTTAGTCTTTACCAAAAAGCCTTTAAGGTGTTGTTGAACATTGCAAGCCATCTAAAATTAAAACAAGGAATGTTTGGTTCTTTATTTAGTAACATTTATGTTCTATTTAGGTATGAATAATCTTATTTCAAAAAGAGATAGTATTGTATATTTAATCTTAATCTGTTTAGTTTTAAGAGAAGACTTGTTTTTCATGAACTAAATCAGTATGTAAGTGTGAACACAGGAAGAATTAAAGGAGTAGTGTCAGTGTTGTTATGGGTCATTTCAGGAGTTACTGGATTTGGTATTTATGAAAGCTTTGAGTACTACATTACAGTATAGTTGAAAAACTAAATTAGTAACACTGGAATTCATCACAGTTGTTGACAGAGTCTTTGGTGCTTTTACTTGTTTTGTTAAGTAAGGATTTTTCTGTTACTGATAAACAATATTTCCCCTAACCTGTGAGAAACAATAAAATGCTTTATAATTATTGTATCATCAAAATTTATTTCTTTTACCCTATTATAAAAAGTAATTTTCATCTGTGTTTACTCATTTGCTATGAAGTAAAAAATTGAATTCATGAAACAAATAATTGTTTTTTAAATATGATTCATGGGAATTCCCTTAAAAGACGGTATAGTTGCTTTGTATAATGTAGATAAAATGTTGGATTAAAACTGAATCATTATCAAAAACTCTTAGTAAAATTAGATAAATCTACATTTATTTTTTTTAAATAAAAAATAGCTTTGTTGCATAGGTGTTGATAGGGTGAGCAGATAGGAAGTGGACAACTGTAGGTACCTCCTTTTTGGCACAAGCCTATTTGACCTTTCTTACATCTAACTCTGGCAGACTTTGGAGGTGAGGTAGATAGGAGGTTTAGTGTTTAAAAACTCCATTTTCCTTTCTCCACTAGTCTTTTAGATTTCTTCAAATGGAGAGTATGCTGAGAAGGGTGGGTGAAAATTTCTCCATTCTCCAGTTTCTTCTCTTGCATTTGTTTCCCTCTTAATGTTCTGATACATGTCTGTAAATGCAGATGCATACATCTAGGTTCAAGACCTCATATCCAGTAAAAGAGAGTCTCATTATATAGAAGGAATGTAAAGTGAATTTTTTACGCCTTAAGTTTTATTTATTTATTTATTTTTGAGGTACTGGGGATTGAATTTGGGTCCTCTACCTCTGAGCTACATTCCCATCCTTTTTTACTTTTTATTTTGAAACAGTATCTCACTGTGTTTCCTGTCAGATTTTGCAGTCCTCCTGCCTTAGCCTCCTGAGTAGCTAAGTAAGGATTTTTCTGTGGTTATCTGGTAGTATTCCAGGAATGTGCTCCTTCTGTAGGAAAATGTCCTGTTTGCAGGAGTATAATTAAAGGTACTCTTTGTACATTACTCTCATAAAAGAAAATAGGATATATGTTAGTCTTTGCCAAAAAGCCTTTAAGCTCTTGTTGAACATTGCAAGCCATATAAAATTTGAAAAAGGAATGATTGGTTCTTCAACACCTGTATCTCAGACCTAGAACTACAAGAATTATAGATGTATCCTAGAACCCCCTAAAATTTACTAGATACAAAACATTGTTAATTTTTCTTTTATTCTGAATGTTACCATACCTGAAGAGTTAATCAGCTCTTTTGAGGAGTCAGATGAAGTTCTTTAGTCAAATAACCAGTGTATCTAAATCATAGAACTAATCTTGAGTTGGGATATAGCCAGGTGGTAGAGAACTTGCTTAGAATGTGCCAGGCCCTAGGTTTGATCCATAGCACTACAAACAAAACAAAAATTTCCCCACCCTTGGAAAAACAATCCCTCTTGTTATTATAAAATGTTATTAAATCTTTTATTTTGCTTTTTGCTTAATATAATAGCTGCTATGTATCAAGGAACCACTGTGTGCCACGCAGAGTCAGAGGTGTTTTAAAAAATTGAAATGTGCTCTGGGCTGAATTTTACCCCTTTGAAATTCTTAAGTTCTAATCCTCAGTACTTCAGAATGAGACTGTTTTTGGAAATAGGGCTCTAAAAGAGGTAATTTACTAAGGTGAAATATGATAATATAGGTGAGTTCTAATCGACAGCCTCAAAGAAAAGGAGATTTAAAAACAGGCACACAAAATGAAGACCACCTGAAGATATTGGAAAAGATGGCTACTTAACAAGCCAAGAAGAAGCCTTAGAAGAAACCAAGCCTGCCAACACCTGGATTTTAAAACTTATAACTACAAGAAAGAACTATGAGAAAATTTCTGTTATTTAAGCCACCCAGATTGTGGGACTTTGTTATGGTGACTTAAAACTAATATAAGGTGGTTGGTACTTTAAAGGACATTAGCTCTAATCTTTTCTGCAACTCTACAAAATAAAATTTGAACATGGGTCTCACCTGACTTCTTAGCCTATGCTTTCTGAACTGTCCTGTGAAGCTGTATTGATGTTTTTAAAAATTGCATGAGCTTTTGAGTTCTACTTAAGTGCTTATCTTATTTGGTTTTTATTTAACTAACTACATTTAAAAATTGCCATAATTTTGATCTGGAGTGTCACCCTAAGGCCCACATGTTAAAGGCTTGGTTGTCAGCTGTGGTGCAATGAGGAGGTATGTAGAAAGGAGGTTGGTCCTAGAAGAAGGAAATTATCTCACTGGGAGCATGCCTTAGAAGGGATATTGGAACTCTGGCTCCTTCCTCTTTTGTTGCATCCTAGCTACTATGCGGTGAACAGGCCTCATCTACCATGCACTCCACCAAGATGTATTGTGGTGCCACAGGGCCAAGCAATTTAGAATTGAAACCTGTGTGACTACAAGCCCAAACCTTTCCTGTTCTTAAGTTGTTTATGTTGGGCCTATTGTCACAACAACGAACTATATAAATGATGTCGTTCATATTTTATCCATGGGCTGAATCCTCACACATGCCTACATCTTATAAGGTTTTATTCTCTTACCCCTTTTGTACTCTTAATGTTGGTCTGTGTCCTAATAGATGCTCATCATGTTGAGCAGATAGATGCTTTGTTAGGTTTATATATTGCCTTATTTAATTATTAAAGCTAGGGGCTGGGGATGTGGCTCAAGCGGTAGCGCGCTTGCCTGGCATGCGCAGGGTGCTGGGTTCAATCCTTAGCACCACATAAAAATAAAATAAAGATGTATCCACCAAAAAATAAAAAAAATTATTAAAGCTATACAAGATACAATATCCCTTTTTATAAATTATAAACATGGAAATCAAGACTCAGTGAAATGATGTAGAATGCTGGAGATGATAAGTGGCAGACTGAATTGTGTATGGTCCATGTAGGGGAGCCTCCAGAACATGTATCTTTTTCTTGATATTATGTCAGTTGTCTACTTGTGTTTAGAAAGAATGTTTCTTCACCCTTTTAACCTAAATAAGGGGAACCATGTAATCATTTGTTAGACTTTTGTTTTTGTTTTCCACATTCTTTCTGAAAAGAACTCAATTTCTGGGTCTAAAGTTCTAAGAAACTACCTGTTGACTGATACTGAAGCCAGAATTAGGCAGTCAGTATAGATAGGTAAATTGAGTCAGGTTGGATCAGGAAGGACAATTTTGAGTCATTCTGGGAAGTCTATAATTTAATGAATGTGTCCTGGGCTGCCCTTCCCTCTTTAGCCTACCTTTTCCCACATTTTGGCTAGCCCACCAAGCATTTCCTATGAGCATTTCCTAGGCCTAGAGGGTGTGTCTAGGAATGAGGCAAGGAGAGGAGAAAGGGCAGGAGAACAAAAGAAGGACATATAAAAAGGGCAGAACACCTTGCTTCTTGGGATACCAGGACACCAGCTATGGCGCCGAAGGGGGCCTTTTCCCTTCCAGGAGAAGTCTGTTACCGCTTTTTAAATAATCCCTGCTTTATATGCTTGCTTTGGCATGCTTCTCTAATATTCAAACTTCAACATGTGAGGAAGCAGAACTTGTCACTGATAACCGGAGGTATCACTATTCCATAAGTCAAAGGAGACCATCAACTTTAAAGATGGATCTCAAAAATTTTTCTAGAACTATTAACATTTTAGTGAATATCCCCTACAATATATAAAATCAATGAGTGCATAATAACAATTGAATTTGTTGATCTCAAAATCCCTTTTACAATTCTAAAAATTAAGGAACCCAAAGAACTTGTGTTTATGCACGTTTAACATTTTGTTACCATGTTAAAAATTAAAATTGTAAAACATTAAAACATTCATTTAAAATAATAACTATATACTATATATATATATATATATACACACACACACACACTATGTAGTGTATATACACACACACTATATGCTAGTGTAACACCTCTTGAAAAATAAAATTTGGTTAGAAGAGTGTAACGGTTAATTTGAATTGTGAATTTGGATTAAGAGATGTCTAGGATTGATTTATGGGTGTGTCTAGGAATGATTGGTATGTAGGATAGCCAACTGAAATGGAGACCCTTCCTAAGCGTGGGCAGCACCAACCAATAAGATGACGACTTGGATGGAATAAAAATTGGAAGAACAAGGAAGTAGCAGCAGATGCAAGCTGGGTTCTTGTAGAATGGATTCTGATTGCTGCTGTAATGGTCCGAGAATATTGGACTCTTCTTCACTCTTCTAAAGTGGACTCGGACAGTGATTCTTCAGAAGCCTTTGACTAGGGTAGCACAGTTGAGCTCTCTTGTTCTGGGGCTTCGGCTTCTTGGATTATGCAGCTCCTGGTTCTTCTAGCTCTCCAGCCTGCAGATGGCCATTATGAACTATCCAGCTTCTGGTCACGTAAGCCAACCTAATAAGTCCCCTTTTTATAATTATACTTCCTGTGGATTCTGTTTCTCTAGAAAACCCTAATACCAAGAGTGACATTGTTTTAGTTTTAGCTCAATAGAAGACAGCTGGATTCTCATGTGCTTATATGTCTTAATGAAATGTTTTTGTGTGTATGATGAAAATTCAGCCTCTCAGAGGTATACATTTGGCAAAGGAAGAATTTTTAGATAATTGTAGGTATTATTTCTTGATGTAATGCCAAAACTTGACAAGTGGTAGTTTCTTAAAGACATTGGAGAGCTGGGAGCTATGGCACATGCCTGTAATCCCAGCAGCTGGGGAGGCTGAGGCAGGAAGATCATGAGTTCAAAGCCAGCTTCAGCAAATTAATGAGGCACTAAGCAATTCAGTGAGAACCTATCTCTAAATAAAATACAAAAAAGGGTTGGGGATGTGACTCAGTGATGAAGTGCCCTTGAGTTCGATCCCTGCTACCAGGAAAAAAAAAAAAGAGATATTTTGGAGTATAGATTAAAAAATGTCAGTTATCGTTTTAGAAGGTAAAATTTTAAAGAGCCATGTTAGATTTATTGCAAAATGAGTGGAAATTACAGATAGTTCTCATATACCTCTGTATGTCTACACATGCACATCCTCTTCCACTGATAACATTCCACACAGTGGTGGTTCATTTATTAGTTAATGAACGTACATTGACACATTACTGTATTTTATCAGTTATTCTTTTAAAAATGATGTTCCATGAACAGAGAGCAAATTCAGCTTAACAGTTCAATCACAGAAGTGCCTTTCTTTGAGAAAATCTTTGTACTTTGGTTAAGTAGAAGCTTTTTTTGTGCCCTTCCCATTTTGTCACATATTATTCATATTATTACTCAAGGGTCAGATTTCATTCATATTTTTATGACTTCACTAGAGATACTCTTACATGAAAGGTCTTTTTTTTTTTTTTTTTTTGGTACTGGAGATTAACTCGGGGTCATTCAACAACTGAGCCACATCCCCAGTCCTTATTTGTATTTTATTTAGCGACAGGGTCTCATGAGTTGCTTAGCAAGCCTGGCTGTTGTTAATCCTCTTGAACATGCAATCCTCTTGCCTCAGACTCCTAAATTGCTGGGATTACAGGTGTGCACCAGCATTCTCAACTAAAGTGGCATTTTTTTTTTAACTGAAGATATGTTTTGATGCCACTATCTCAATTCATGTAAAGGTGTCAACAGTTTGACCACCATTGTTTTTTCATCATCAGTGCAAATGTCAGCCCAGTGAAAATGGCAAATAACTTTTTAGGATTTTTTGTTTTTGTTTTTTAGAAATCCCAAAAGGATTTCCAGGACCTGCAGAGCCTATGAACTACCGTGTAAGAACTATTAGCATGGTAAACATTAATCTTACTTTTTTAAAAAAATATTTTTTTAGTTGTAGATGGACATAATACCTTCATTTTATTTGTTTTATTTTTATGTGGTGCTGGGGATCAAACCCAGTGCCTCTCGCATGTGAGGCAAGCACTCTACCACTGAGCCATAATCCCGGCCCCCAATTTTTTTTTTAATAAAAATAAATCCAAGAAGAATTAAGGAAGAACTTTAGTCCACTCAGGCTTCCTTGGTATAGTGGGAGCTCTCTTTGCACTTGCACTTATATTTTTGGTACTTTTGAAAGAGAAACTTGGTAGCGCAATGCTGTCTTGCCTGTCTTTCTCTTTGGTAGCTGGTCAGCCTGCCCACTGAGCATGTACCATATTCCTCTGTGACTCTGGCATCACAGAGGCCTGCCTTGATTTTTCAGTATTTTTCATTTGCCAATGACTGGCAAATAGTTTAAATATTTTGGGATTTGTATTAGGAAATCTACACCTAAGTGTTTTCCTCCAAAGCCTTTTTGGTAATAAAGGTGAGTTTTCATCTCTGCGTGATGATTTTTTTTACCCTTTATTGGTTCTTGGGTGGGAGGGATGTAATTTTAAAAGATTATTTTTTAATTTTTTAAATTTTTTGGTAGTGGGGACTTAACCTACAGGCGTTTTATCACTAAGTTACATCCTCCTTTTTATTTTTTATTTTGAGATAGGGTCTTGCTAAGTTGCTGAGGATGGCCTTAAAATTGTGATCCTCCTACCTCAGTCTCCTGAGTTACTGGCATTACAGGTGTGTGCCACAGACCCAGCAGAAGGGGTGTAACGTGCCCTACAAATCTGTAGCAGATCTTATTGATCTTTTGGTGTATGCATGGTTATTCAGGGGAAGAGGGATAGCTTAGTAGAAATGGAAAGACCATTGTAATAGTGCTAGATCCTGCTATCTTTCTGGTATAATGGTGTCTATAGATAAGTTTTAACTAGAATCCTTGGAGCTTTAAGCCTTAGTGGCTCTGGCAATAAAGGGTTAATAGGTGAGTATGATATTACATACACAGCTGCATTGCTCAGTATGGTGTAGGGAAAAAAGCCCTGCATTTCAAATCTGAAGACTGTCTCAGTTCTCCCATTTAAAAAGGCCTTTGACAAAGCCTTTATAATTCTCTGATCCTTAGGTTTTCTGTGAGCATCTGTATCTGCTCTGTTTATTCCTTACAGGGCTATTATAAG